GTGTCTGCAAGGCAGCCATGGGGCTGCTGACCGGGGGTGCACTGTTCTCTGTGGCCGTGGCCGTGGCCGTCTTCCTGCTCCTGGTGGACCTGATGCACCGGCGCCAGCGCTGGGCTGCTCGCTACCCGCCAGGCCCCGTGCCTGTACCCGGGTTGGGCAGCCTGTTACAGCTGGACTTCCACAACCTGCCGTACTCCTTCTACAAGGTGAGGGAACTAGAGTGGAAGGGCCCAGAGTCAGGGGGAGGTCAGAGCTACAGGAGGTGGGTGAAGCCCACCTGCATGTGGACGGGGTCCTGGGCCTGTAAGAGGAAGCAGGCAGAGAGGCCTAGTGGATGGCACTGCAGAGCCTGGGGACATGTTGGACTTTGCAAGAAAAAAGTGTGAGAGCACAAAGGCCAGGAGGTGGGGTGGCACTTGGCAGTGTGTTCTGGATCCAGGTGGACAGGGTAGGAGTCATGCAGGGCCCAAGTCTCTTGTGACAATGTCAGGGGACGGGGGGAAAGGTGTTGAAGTTGGGCAAGAGAGGTTAGGATCCCAGCATCCATCAGGAAATCGAGACTCAGAGAGGTGCGGTGACACCCTTCAAATCATCTAGTGCTGTGTGGAGTTGGCTCACTGCTCACTTCTGTGAGCACAGTTTCCCCTGTGTAAACTGGGGTGCTAGCTAACGGGGTGCTCACAGATCTATACAGACAAGGTCATGGCTGGGAGACCAGATCCCTAGTGATTCCTAGAGGTAGGGCACACCTGAGGTAGGGCACTTGCCGAGTGAGCAAGGGACACGGGGACCATATCCCTGGGCCTTCAAAGAATGAAAGAGGGATGTCAGATCTCTGAAGTGCTGTGCTCATTCTGGGTCTCCTGAGGTTTGCACGCTGAGTTGGGTCCTTCAGGTCGGCTGGGTCCCCGACTTGAGTGTCGCGACCATTTTAACTGCAGTTGCGGCACCGCTTCGGGGACGTGTTCAGCCTGCAGCTGGCCTGGACCCCAGTGGTTGTGCTCAACGGGCCAGCGGCCATGCACGAGGCTCTGGTGGACCACAGGGAGGACACTGCAGACCGGCCACTGATGCCCATCTATGAGTTCCTGGGTTTCAAGCCACACATGCAAGGCAAAGGGTGATGGGCAGGCAGGACATAGGGGTGGTGGCAGACCTGGGCGT